ACTTAACGTGCACCTTTATCACATAAGTTAACTACAGTGAACATTTCTTAGCTTCATAGCTCTTACGGTTTGGGCTGTGCGTTGATCATCAATCAGTCAGTCAGTCAATCAGGACAAACAGTTTAATTATATATTATAGATGTAGAGAACAATAATATCAAATAATCTTTAAGTTTATATTAAACTTTACTCTTGTAGGTTATGTAGAAATTGTTTCTACACGCACAGTGTTTAATTAAAACAAATATATATTCTATGTTTTATTTAATTGCGTTTACGTAATTCAGGGACAGCTCCACATAGAAAATTAAGCAACATATTTGAGAATAATTCGTGTTATAGGTTATGTAGAGCCAGTTCACCCGGTTCGAATCATTATTTCGGGTGGTTCCTCTTAAAATAAATGCCATTTCTGATGTTCGTATTCGTTTTGCTTATACTTCGAATACAGATACAGCTATCAAATTTATGCTAATTACTTGTGATGATTATTTTGTCAACTGGTCGGGGCGACAATACAACAAAAGCCATGCGTAAATAAAGGCGACAGTTGGGGCGTTGGGAATTGCGAATTGGCTGGATGGGGTCTATGGGGGGAGTTGATATCATACGTTTAGCCTTGTTATTGAACTCGTTTTCCGACTGATTTTTATCTGTTGCCAGCGATGTTTTTCGCAGCTTCAAACTAAGTGAGACCTATTAAATGCGTCACAATAAAAGCAAAATCAACAAAACAGGTGACAAAAAAATTTCCGAAAAAAAGAGTTTGCTTTCATATGCATACAAATACTTTTTTATTTGCCACTGTTGCTAATTAAATTAATTTGTTTTGTGTTTATTTACATTTGAAATTTACCATATTTTCGCTATTTGCATGTGCATTTCACATATCATTATGTATGTAAGTCAGCCTAAATGGAATATGAATACCGATTCGAGAAATAATAATTATGATACATAAATATATCAATTTATGTTACGCTAATTATGGCGAAGTTTTCCCATATTATGGCGCTATAAAATGCAAATTAAACACTTTGAAAACGCTTTGGACACGGCTCTTAATAGAGGAGAATAGAGAAAATATAGAGTTTGGATTGAACCCTCGACCCGTTCGATTTGTGGAGAATAGAGAAAATAGAGATTATGGATTGAACCAGAGACCCATTCGATTTGTGGAGAATAGAGAAAATAGGGAATATGGGTTGAACCAGCGACATGTTCGATTTTCGGAGAATAAAGAAAATAGAGAATATGGATTGAGCCAGCGACCCCTTTCGTTTTGTGGTTCCTGGTTCCTGCACTTGGTAAAACAAAAAAAAATTGATTTGTTACAAAAAATAATAATAAAATAATATTTTTTAGCATGAAAATTGTTCCTTTTTACTGCTAATAATGTAAATATTTGAAGGTATTTTATAAAGAAAATGGTTCGGTTCTTTGGTTCTGTTTGTGTTCTAGTTCGGGTAACCAGTTCGGTTGAAAACCAGTTTTGCGGTTTGCTTATTAACTTTTGACTTTGATAAATTTGACAGTCGGTTTTGACGTGGACTGGTCACAGCCCTTGGAGCTGCCTGCCTGGGCACCAGGATGCGGCAGTGGCAATTCTAGCATGAACATCCTTTGGGCGATCCTGTCAAGCTTCCTGTTGGCCCCTGAAAGTATTTTTAATGTAAGGTCAATTCAAGAACTGAAACGCGCACTAACTTTTAGAGTTCGGATTCCGCATAAAGGTACTCTGCCTGTATGGCTTTTTTATCCGGTATGGCGGTGGCTTTTTTGTCGTAACTTTCCCTGAGCCGGGTTTAACGGCACGTCCATCTTCATTGAAATCCAGCTCGTTTTCATTAGGTTTGTCCGTGCCTTCGTGTGAGGACTTATCAGCATCCGGTTCAATGTCCATCGTTTCTTGACTTAGAGCCCCAACCCTTTCGTATTCGTCCGTATCCATGCCGCGTTTTTGGCCGTTGGGCATTTTGCCCGGGACAGGAATCATGCAACGTACCTGGGCGTGCAACGTGGGCGCACTTATCAAGATAAATAAAAGAACGGACAGCAGAGTTCCACTCATGTTAGATTTTAAACAAGAACTGGTGTGTTTTTCTAGTTTCAGATGTAGCATTTGAGTGCATCGCATTCGCTTCGGCTTGATTTAATTAATTTTAAACAAAGCATGCCTAACAAGTAACAGGCTCTAGTCGGGAGTTCCCGACTAGGGCATACCCTGAACCCTCTTCTACCAACACAGATACTTATATATTTAGGTATAAATACTATTCAAGAAGCTATGTTAAGCGCTTAAAACCTATAAAATTAGTTCAAAAATTGATTTTGATATCGATTTTAATCGATTGCTTAGAGAGAGGGAAAGTTATCGATTATCGTTCTGCGCGAGCTTCTGAGTAGAGTGGGGATTTCTAGTTCAATTTGCTGAATAAGTTCACTCGTTCATTTTCTGGCCGTGAATTAAAGCGGTCAGCTATTCAGTCGGTCATGAACGATGAATTCTGCTCAGCTATTCAGTCGGTCATGACTTATTCGTTAGTTCAGTTATGCCGTCAAATCAAAAGTGAAATTAAAATCCCGCTATTTTGTATGTTTATTAAAAACTAAGCATCTAAAAAGAATGTATCGTTCAGGAACGGCTGAACTGCTGAGTTGCACACAACGTTCATGACCGTCTGAACGAGTATCAAGAATGTATCGTTCATGACTGAACGAACGAGTACAGAATACATCGTGCATAAGTTCAGTAGTTCATTTTAATTAAGTAACAACTGCCTAGTTGCTTTATTAATTGTATGTTTTGAATGCTGAGATATTCTGCTATATTTTATTTAGATACTTACATTGAAACGAGTAAAATTTTCAAATTTAATTCATTAAATTAAAATTTTCTTATTAAACGCAGGAAGTTTGAATTTGTAACAGTCAGCTGTAGCATTCAGCTTTGTGACAAGCACACGCACACAAGCATTTATCAGTTATCGACAAGCCGCCACATTCTAGGTATTGTTGTGGTATCATTGTGGATTTTAAGTGCGGTCATACTTAAGTTATTCGCGTCTAATTTGCGTAAAAATTTGTGAAGTTTTCTGAAATTTGTTAAATAAATTAAATAGAGTGGATAATCAGAAATGCCGCCCACTATAAACAATTCGGCAGTCAATAGCGCCGCCGAGAAGCGGCCGCAACGGCAAACGGAACGCAAGTAAGTATCATATATTAAATGAAGCATCATCCACGCGGAACTAACCTGCGATTGCATGCAATACCCAGATCAGAGATAATTTGCCGCGTCAAATATGGCAATAATCTGCCGGATATACCCTTCGATCTGAAGTTCCTGCAGTATCCCTTCGATGGCAATCGTTTTGTGCAGTATAATCCCACGTCGCTCGAGCGCAATTTTAAATACGATGTGCTGACTGAACATGATTTGGGCGTCACAGTAGATCTGATTAATCGGGAGCTGTACCAGGCGGATCCCATGTCACAATTGGATCCGGCCGATGAAAAACTGCTCGAGGAGGAGACGCTGACGCCCACAGATTCAGTGCGCTCGCGCCAGCATTCGCGCACCGTGTCCTGGTTGCGTAAATCCGAATATATATCCACGGAGCAAACACGCTTCCAGCCACAGAATCTGGAGAATATCGAAGCCAAGGTGGGCTACAATGTTAAGAAGTCGCTGCGCGAGGAAACGCTCTATCTGGATCGCGATGCACAAATCAAGGCCATCGAGAAGACGTTCAGCGACACCAAGAACGATATTACCAAGCACTACTCCAAGCCAAATGTGGTTCCCATCGAGGTGTTGCCCATATTCCCCGACTTTACCAATTGGAAATATCCGTGTGCGCAGGTCATTTTCGATAGTGATCCGGCGCCACAGGGAAAAAATGTGCCCGCACAACTGGAGGAGATGTCGCAGGCCATGATTCGTGGTGTGATGGACGAGAGTGGTGAACAGTTTGTTGCCTACTTTCTGCCAACAGAGACTACGCTGGAGAAGCGTCGTATCGATTTTGTGGCCGGCGAGCTTTACAAAGACGACGAAGAGTATGAATATAAAATTGCGCGCGAATACAACTGGAATGTCAAGACAAAAGCATCCAAGGGTTACGAGGAGAACTACTTCTTTGTCATGCGGCAAGATGGCATATACTACAACGAGCTGGAGACCCGTGTGCGGCTCAACAAGCGACGCGTCAAGGTCGGACAGCAGCCCAACAACACCAAATTGGTGCGTATCGATCAAATATTTCTCTCAATTATTGGCTAATCTTATGGATTTTGTGCCCTGCAGGTGGTTAAGCATCGACCGCTGGACGCCATGGAGCATCGTATGCAACGCTATCGTGAACGCCAGCTGGAGGTGCCCGGCGAAGAGGAGGAGGAGGAGGAGGAAGATGATGAAATGGAAGCTGTTGTTCAGCAAACACAGCCAGCAGCTGAGCAGGAACCACAAGCAACAGCGGAGAATTCAGACAACTCCAAGACACCAGCTGATGTTAATGCTGCCGTTGCTGCTGTTTGCTCGACTCCTGCACCGGATGCACAGCAGCAACGTGAGCGACAATCACGGTCAAGAACCCACTCCGGAGGCACACGTTCGCGCACGCGCAGCCGCAGCGTTGGCAGTGGCAGTGCAGCCAGCGGCTCGCGCAGTCGCAGCCGTTCCAGCTCAGCTAGCGGCTCGGGCTCACGTGCCAGCAGCCGTTCCAAGTCGGGCACACGCTCACCCAGCGGCTCACGTTCTCGTTCCCAGACGCCAGCTGGCTCCCACAAGTCGCGCAGTCACACGCCCTCCAAATCTAAATCGAAATCTATATCAAAGTCACGCAGTCGCAGTGCATCCGGCTCGCGTTCTGGCTCCGGTTCACGCTCGCCCAGCCGTTCGCGCAGCGGCACGCCCAGCGGTTCTGGCTCTAGCTCTGGCAGCGGCACCGAGGAGGAGTAAAACGTACACAAATATAAATTTTAGCAGCCTGTAATATTAAGAGCAATACACAACAAAATTTTACACAAAAGACAAACAGATATATGGAACTTCCTCAACTACGTGGCGTCCATTAGGAAATGGCGAAAGAGCTCACCATCCGAGCTGCTGGGCTGTTCCGCCTGCTGCGGCGAATATAGGCGCAAATTCTGCAGCTGCTGCAGCGGCGAGCTGCTGCCATCGAAGTGCACGCTGCTGTCCATGATCACCGGCTGTGGCTGCTGCGGCGGCTCCACGCTGCAAATGCCCAGCTTCTGGCAGCTCTCGACCACAATGTCATCAATGCTTTGCGAGAGCAACGCCTCCTGATCCCCGCCATTTATCTGAATGGCCGCATTAATAGCCACATGCTCTGTCTGCACATGGCCCACTGTCACATTGGAGGACTCCAGCAGCGCCTTGATCAGTTGTTCTGGTGTCTGTGGCTCGTCCTCAGTGTTGGCAGCGCATTTATGTGTACGCAACGAGACCTTGTAGCGAAATGTCTTCTGACAGTGCTCGCATTTATAGGGCATGACTCCAGTATGAATGCGTGTGTGTACCAGAAAGGAGACGCGTTGCCGAAAACATTTACCTGTGCGTGTAGAGACATTTTAGGGTGAGGTAGAGAATTCGTTAATTATCAGATACCCTACAAGTAATTCCTATATTAACCTGACTTTTGGACCCGTTCTCAATTGTTAATTGCAAAAGTTGCCAGGCAATTTATCTGTATTGTAAGTTTTTACTATTGGGCAGGAATTCTTTAGTTATCAGATACCCTACAAGTAATTCCTAAATTAGAGCTCTTTATCTGCAGTGGAAGTGTTCCTACTGGGCAACAGAGCACTGAAAACCATTTTAATCAGCCTGGTTAAGACGTGCCGAGTAAACAGCATTTATGCTCATGGCAGTTGCCATGAACTTTTCAGTGAACCTGAGAAAACGGGCCTAACTACAAATTCCGTGCGTCTGTTTTTTTGCTCCTTGATAAAAATATCGGACTACCACATTAAATAAGTTAAAATAAAGCACTGTACCCAAACAAATGGGTATCTGTTACAAGAAGATACTTTCGATATATATATACTATATATATATATATATATATATATATATATATATAGCGAAAGTAGCGAGTATATAAATTGAGTTTATCTGGATAGGAAGAGGTGTTTTCTTTGCCAACTATTTTGTCCTGACCTTGGTAAATGGTGGTCAAACTTAGTCAGATTTTGATTATTGAGCGTCGGACTAACGAGTGGAAAGTCGCTGGTTCAAACTCCAATAAAGAGTGTATATATATAAGTATATACACTGAGTCAATCTGAATAGGAAGAGATGTTTTCTTTATATGTAAGGTAGACTTTGTAAATTTTTTGACTGAGCGTCGGACCAACTAGAGGAAAGTCGCTGGTTCAAATTGAGCAGAAATTTTGTTATTTGTTAAGTAATTTCTTCTAATACGTACCGCACACCTCACACTTGAAGGGCTTCTCGCCGCTGTGGATGCGCTGGTGATTGTGCAGGGTGGACAGTTCCTTGAAGGCGCGTCCGCAGATGCTGCAAGCGTGCGGCTTCACCTCGCTATGGTAGAGTAAATGCTTGTGATAGGACTGCTGGAAGGTGAAGGTGCGTGCGCAGTACTGGCACGTGTACGGCATTTCGCCCGTGTGCAGTCGCTTGTGCTTCTTTAGGAAATACTTGGTGGTGAACATCTTGGTGCACACATCGCACTCCCAGTTCTTGGGCGTGCTGCCGTACTCCGAGCCGGTCGCCGCGTCCGTTGCAGCTCCCGGCAGCTCCTGCTTTAGCATGCAAATGGCTCCGCTCAATGCGTAGGGCTGGCTGTTGGTGCACCCAGTGGAGAAGGCGCCGCTGCTGGCGGACGCCTCCTTGTGTCGGATGCGATCGCAAATGCTGATTTTGGGAGTGGCACTCAGACAGTTGCTCCCATTGTTCTGGCTGCCGTTGCAGTTGTTGCCGTTGCCATTGCCGTTGCTGCTGCTGCTGCTGCTTCCGTGCGTTGCTCCGACCGTGTGCAGGACCTTGAGATGGACACGCAACGAGCCCTTCATTCGGAACGTCTTGGAGCACAGATGACACTTGTAGGGCTCCTGCTGTGGCTGCTGCGGCCGCTGCTCCGTCAGCTCTGCATTCTCGTGCACCAGCCGAATGTGTATGTCGCGCAGCTCTTCGTTGCGAAAATTGAACTCGCAGATGTCGCATCTCGCTGGCGGCGTCGCTGGCGCTGGCGGCGGCAATATTGGAGGCGGCTGCTCCAAGGGCTTGGCACGCGATTTCTTGCCACGTCGCTTGGGCACAGCAGCAGCAACAGTCGAATACGTTGTCGGCGACGGTGGTGAACTGGCTGCAGCGGGGCAAGGGTTAGTTGTGGGCTGAAGGGGAAGGGGAGCAGCAGGTTCTGCAGCTGGCGTAGCTGCTGCGCTTGTTTCGTTCTGCTCCATCAGGCTGGTGTGGCTAAACAGATGTATGGTCAGCTTGTCTAAGCCGAGGAACAGCTCCTTGCAATGCGGGAAGGGGCAGGCCAAAGGTCCATTCGCCGCCTTGATCAGACGCTGCTGCAGTGCATCGATGCTATTGAAACTGGGCACCGCGCACAGCGGACACAGCACGGACATGGAGCACATTTCACAAGGCAAAAACTACTGCGAGGAACTTTCCAATACGCGAACAATCCTCAAGCATTGCTGACCGACAAAAACTTGAAAAGATTGTTGTTCTTTTTTTTTCCTATTCAGATATTTTCTAAAAATACTTGCAAAGAAAATATTGAAAAATTTTGTCTGCCGACCGCGACAACGTTCGTCTGGGCGATATCGAAAATAATGAAAATTATTCTGCTCCCCAGGCCGACGAGAATTGTGAGAAAAATCGGAATTTCGAAAAAGTACGAACTGTGCCGAAAACTAGCCCGCAGACAGCTGTCTGCTGCTGCTTCTTCATCTTCCTCTCACTTTTTGGGGCACCAAAACCCGCCGCCCAGCTAGTGGGCGTATTTGGTATAGCAGATCGCTTGGCTCTTTGTTTTGATCTTGCCATGTAAATGGTTCGGAAAGGGGCAGCTGCTAGGCCCAAAATGTGACATATTCAATAGATATATTTGAAAATAAATGGGCTACAGCTTAAGGTATTAAAGGGTATTCTTGGTAATATTTCAGAAAAAGCTTGAACAGTTTCTGGTACTCGAATTTCGGACATATTCTTTAGATATATTTGGAAATAAATGGGCTACAGCTAAAAGCTTTAAAGGGTATTCTTGGTAAGCAATTATCATATGATTTCCAAGATGATCCCTAATAATTCAGAAACTGGTTGAAAAGCCAAAAATCAATATTTTCTAAAATTGGTAAAAAAAAAGTACTCCCACATTCTTCTAAAGGGATTTTGATATACTTTCGTATATTAAATATACATTTAACCCTTTTTCACTCTTCTAGATGGAATTTCGAACATATTTTAGATATATTTGGAAATAAATGGGCTACAGCAATTGTCATATGATTTTGAAGATGTTAACCCTAATATTTCAGAAAATGGTTGAAAAGTTTAGAAGACAGCCAAAGATGTTATTCTATATAGCAAGTATTATGCATATTATCCGATTTCAGGGATTTGGGTTTTCCCGAAATTGGATAAGAAAAAACATTCATACTAGGAATACATTTAAAAGGATTTTGATATACTTTCGTATATTTCAAAAGTTTTTCAATAAATTTACATTTACCCGTTTCTCACCCATTTTTCACTCTTGCGGATGGAAATCCGAAATCAATCTAACCAGTCGGAAAACAAAAATGCCAGAAAGTAATATTCCATTTGCTGCTCGCTTAACATTTAATGATCGAATTAGTTAGGTTAATCTAGTTGATATATAGCATATTAATCAGCATGTGATCTGGGCGCCCAGGCTTTCAGGTTTCATAAGGAAGGGTATCTAGCGGTTCGTTTGCTTAGACAGCTCAGTCAGTCAAGGGTATGCGCTGGCTGTGCACTCTCCAACGCTATTTATAATGAAGTATACCTATATACTATATATATAAATATGTATATATATATATATATATATATATATATTGGGTATCTGCTGCTCTCTTGTTTCTTGTTGATATTTTGTCAGCGCTTTGTGTTGTGCGCTATTTTAATGGTTCTTGTTGTTTTCTTTGTTGCTGCGCGATTTATTCGTGTTTCTGTTTGGTTGTCCGATTTGTAAACAGTTCATTGGCCAAGCACGTGAGGGAAATAATCAGAAAGAAAACTTGTGGAAAACTATTTCTTCTTTTTGGGCGGAAAATCCAGGGAGACGACGCTAATGCGCGCCGAGCTATTCTCCTCCTTGCCCAGGCTCAGCTCCGAGGTGGAGGAGCGTGCGCTGTAACCTATATTTGGAAGGTACATATTAGATAACTGTCTCTCACTTTTTCTCTCTCTCCACCCACCTTTGACTGAGTAGCAATCCAGCGAGGAGTAGGAGGTTGTCCTGGAGGACACACAGCTGCGTGTGGGCTTCAAATGCTGCGGCAACTTCAATCCTTTGCTCAGCATATAGTTTATTATCTGAGGTCCGTCCACGTCGCTGTTGGCCATATCTGACAATAGGTTTAGGGCCTTTCGGTTGCGATTCTCTAGCTCCTGCAGATTGAGATCGCGCTCGAACAGCGCGAGGTATTCGGTGCTAATGGACTTCTGTTTGATTTCCTTCATTAGCGAATGAATCTCGCGATTGGCTCTTTCGATTTTCGATTTTTGATCCAGCAGCTCTTTGTTAAGTTTATCCAGAGCCTCCGCATCTTCTGAGCATTTCTGCTTCTCCATTTCGATTTGCTTGATCAGCTCCTCCAGCGAACGTTTCTGATCCTCGATCTTATTGTCGTGCGACTCCGCCTTGCAGCGCAGCACCTTCAGCTTATCCAGATCGTTGCAGTAGATCTCCTGCTGTTTCTTTAGCTCCTCCTCGGCACGCTGTTCATCTGGGGGAACAAAAAATCGTTCAACTTATGACTGACTGATTGATGATTAACCCAGAACCCAAACTGCAAAAACTAGGCAACTACAATTTTTCTAGCTAACCTTTGTGATAAAAAGCCCGAATTAGACCGAGTTTCGGGCACTTTTTTATGCAACTATTTTTGCACATTTTTAAAAAACTCTTATTTCGAAAAATTCACCTATTACGAGTGAAAAATCTGCGACTATGATAATAAAATTAATATTTTTTAATAAAGTCTGCAATACTTGTTCCCATCCACGTTTACGCGCGGAAAATAGGCGGAAAACTTTTTCAATTAAAGTTTTTGTATGTCTTCTGACTCATATTAGAGGTCTGTTAAAAAAGAAGACATATTTACTTAGGGGTTTTATCGACAATTGGAAACGGAATATCTGACATAAAATGGAATGGCAAATTCTTTGTCCGGGCAAAGCCGAACCATACTGTTTGGATTACCCACCCTTTGAGTTGTCCTCGTAGGTTTTTAGGTTCTTGCGGTAGTTGTCGTTGGATTTATCAAACTGACGCAGTGTATTCTCCAGGGCAATGACCTCCTTCTCAGCCTTGAGCACCTTCTTGTTAAGAGAATCACCCTCGTCGGCGAGCAGCTGGCGCTCCTGGGCATTCTCCACCTTTAGCTGGGTAGCCGTGATCACGGTGCCGTCCTCGTTGACGCCCAGCAGAGCAGATGTCAGCTCGAAGCGGGCGCGCATGGCGGAAATGTGTTTCTTGCGCTCGCCGAGATCAGCGCGCAGGGTGCTCAGCTCTTCGTTGAGATGTTTACGCTTGAGCAGCAGGACATCCTGCTGGCTCTTCAGCTCGACAAAGCGGTCCTTGATGATGCGCTGGAACGCCAGGCGATGCTGATTCAGACTGTATGTGCCCTTCTCGCAATTGTCGATCACATTCTGGAGATCACAGCAGCGCATCTTGAGCAGACTCAGCTCCACGACAAACTCGGAGTTGTCGTAGCGATTCATGCGCAGCCGCTTGATGGTGCCCTCGCAGTAGACCTGCGCCTCCTTGATCTTGAACTTGACCAGCTCCAGATCCTTGGCATCGTTGTTGTAGACAATCACCAGAGCGTTCATGCTATAGTTGAGCTTCTTGTTCTGCGCCTCCGTCGAGCTCAAACGACGCTGCAGCTTGGCCAGATAGTGTTCCAGTTCGGTGAGCAACAGCTGATTCCGCGCCTCCGTCTCAGGATCCGCGTTCTTGCCACGCAAATCGGCCAGACGACGCTCGCACTGCAGATACTTGAAGGACATTTCATAGTATATTTCCGTCTGGCGCTTCAGCTCCTGCCCCACCTGCCGCTGGCTGCGATTGACCGCCAGCAGGGTGGAATGCAGCGCCGCGCTCTGCACTATGAAGGTCTTCTGCTCGTCCTTGAGGTCGTTGATCTGGCGCTGGGCGCGATAAAGCAACTCGTTGCAGCGCTGCTGCTCCTTGTTTAGCAAATTGAGCGCCTCCTGCTCGCCCTCCATCATCTCGTCCAGTATTTGAAGCCGCTGATTGGCATCGGTGTGCTTGTCCTCGATCGACTTGAGGCGATCCTCCACCTGCTTCAGCGTCTGGGCAAAGTTCTCGATCTCTGTGTTCTTGTCATCGCGTTGCTTGAGAAGCTTGCGATTCTCCAGACGCTGCGAGTGCACCATGTTTGACAGATTCTCGAGCTCGTGACGCAGGGCCAGAATCTCGCGCTCCTTGAGCAGTGAGGCATCTATTAGCCGCTGTATTTCATTTTTCGCCTCCGAGGTCTCCGTATTCAGCATTTCGATGCCCTGCTCCACTATGCGATTGTTCTCCAGAACATCGTTCAGCTGCTCATTCGCATTGCGATAGCCGGTGGCCATGGCCTCCGCTTCCTCTATAAGCTGGGCGCACTCCGTCTCACTGTTCTGTATCTCCAATTCGCGCTGTGTCATTTGATTGACCGCCTGCTTCCAGGTCTCCACCATCTGGCGGCGCTCCAGATGCGCCTCCCTATACAGGCAGGCGGTGCGCTCCAGATTCTTCTCCAGCGTGTTCTGCTCATCGTAGAGCTGGACGACCAGCTTGCGCCGCTTATCGATGTCCGCCTGTAACTGCTGGCGGCGCGTGTTCAGCTCCCGTGCCCGCTGCTGATCGTCCTGGTAGTATCGATCGATCAGCTGGTAGCCCTTGTTGCCATCCTCCATGGCCTCGGCCCAGTCGACCAGGCTCGATTTGGCCGTCTTGATGCGCTTCGTCAGATCATCAATTTCACGCTTGTTTTTCGTGATTTTACCTGCAATTCAATTTACAATATGATAACTAAAACGCCGAGCGAATATTTCAGCTGATTCGTCGGGATGAGCCATAGGTTGACCATCTACTGGATGCCAAGGGCGGGCGGAAATGGAGCCAGATAGCATATGTGTGTAGTCAAGGACATTTTAAGGGATCGGACCGTTAGACACGGTCCAATATTTGTCTACAGACGTGACTCATGGTGGGGAATTAGTAACTAATAGGAACAGAATTCCCCTTGGATCCTTCTCATTAACCGGCCACGGAGCCATGGGGTCTCGACTAGCATCTAGACAAGCATATGATTTGGAAAATGCAAGCTGCAGACTCTGCCTCGAAATCTGTGGGACGCCAGAGCATATTTCAGGGAACTACACGGAAGGGTGAGACTCGGATACGGAATAAAGGATCCTAGACCAGGGATAATTAGGAAAACTGAACGGAGGCACAAAAGACCCGAAAGGAAATGCA